GACAGCAGGCTGGCGTTCCAGGCAGGTTCAGGTACTGCAGCAGGGTCTCGTCCCGGTCAGACAGAGAGCACCGGCCTGCAGATCTTGTCCTCTTTTATAGATCAGAAACCACTGTTCGAGAAAGTACCACTGTTCAAATAAGCCAATTAGCACTGTCCAGATACATACTCTGTCAGAGCCATCTTTAACCTATTGTCCATTTTTCTGCCAGTTATCATAACCCTTATGCTCTTTTCTTGCTGTGGACTTACCTGATAGAGCAAGAGGCCTGTTCCAGTCTGTCCTTGGCTAAATTACCAAGAAGACGCCACTCTTGTTTTGCCGGCTTGAAAGGCATTTTATTTAGTCTTATGTGGGGAGAGAGAAGATGGACCATTCCCCACAGCTGTTTACATATCATTATGGTAGCTCCAACTCTTTTTTTTTTTCTCTTTTTTTTTTTCTTTTTCTCAAAAAAGATCTGTGCTTGGCAAGTGGAAGAGTTCTGTTTGCACACATCTCCAGTTTCCCTCCAGCTCACTGGTTAAAAAGAACAAAACTCAAAGTCTCTAAGCCAGTTTACATTCCTGCCTGTGAAACTAACAAGTTGACAGGTAGGTTTCAAAATGGCAACATCAAGGCAATGTCGAGGCTCTGACTTTAGATAGAAGGCTTAGAGCAATGTCGACTAAAGGCAAAAGTTAAACTGTCTCCCTAGTTAGTGTCACCAATGCAGGATTACAAAAATTGTTCTATGGGAAAGCAGTAGGATGATTACAGTTTTTCCTTGTCCAAGGATGATGCCATGATGGAGCGCTCATGATGTCATGATGAGGTTGAGAGTGATTGTATTAGGTTAAGTGCCAATAAAGCAGGTATCACTGTGGGAGTCTGCTACAGACCTCCCAGCCAAAGCAGTGAAGTGGATGAAACTTTCTATAAGCAGTTGAGAGAAATCTCCCAGTCACTTGCTGTTGTTCTTGTGAGGGACTTGAACCTCCCAGACATCTGCTGGAAATACAACACAGCAGAGAGGGAACAATCCTGGAATGTTCTTCCTCACACAGCTGATAAGTGAGCCAACCAGGGGGGGTGCCCTCCTGGACCTGCTTCTGGTGAACAGGTGAGATCTTGTGGGGGAAGTAAAGTTGGAGGCTGTCTAGGGCACAGTGATCATGAGATGATTGAGTTTTTGATCCCTGGAGAAACAAGGAGAAGGGTTAGTAAATCTGCCACCTTGGAGTTCCAGAGGGCAAACTCTGACCTGCTCAGATTTATTGACAAAGTCCCTTAGGAGGTTGCCTTGAAGGATAAAGGAGTCCAGGAAGGCTGGACATATTTCAAGAAAGAAGTTTTAAAGGCATAGGAGCAGGCTGTCTCTGTGTGCTGAAAAAACAGTTAGTGGGGTAGGAGACCAGTCTGGGTAAATAGGGACCTTTGGCTGGACCTTAGGAACAAAAGGAGAGTCTATGACCTTTGGAAGAGGGGACAGATGACTCATGAAGTCTATAAAGATGAAGTGAACCTATGCAAGCTGAAAATTAGGAGAGCCAAAGCACAGCTAAAGCTCAAAGTAGCTAGAGCTGTTAGGGATAATAAAAAATGTTTCCGTAAGTTCATTAACAGCAAAAGCAGGATTAGAGAAAATCTCCATCCTTTATTGGATGCAAAGGGAATCTTAGTAACAAAGGATGAGGAAAAGGCTGAGGTGCTCAACACCTGCTTTGCCTCAGTCTTTAGCAGTGGAACTAGCTGTTCCATGGATATACAGGCAAATGAGCTAGGAGACAGGGAGGGGATGCAGAATGAGGTTATCCCAATTAAAGAGGAAGTGGTTAGAGACCTACTGCACCACTTAGACACACACAAGTCTATGGGACCAGATGGGCTACATCCAAGGGTGC